AGACATCAAATATATATAGCCCCCTAAAATCACCAAGTAGAGGGTCCCCCTACGACCATCAAGTGAGTAGAGCTCCCTAGGAATATCGAGTAAGTAGAGGCCCCCTGAAATCATTGAGTAGAGGGTCCCCCTATGACCATCAAGTATGTATAGGCTCCCTATGACTGTCAACTAAGTAGAGCACCTTCTACAACCGTTAAGTAAGTAAAGGCCCCCCCTAGGACCATCAAGTAATGCTAATACCTTCTACTGCAATGTTATTTGTGCCAAAAATGAAACTCGTGATATGAAATTTTCTATTCATTCATTGCATTTTTTTTATCCCAAAAATTAAACTTATTCCCACTCAAACTTGATTTGTTAATGCGGACTCCTGAAGTTGATGAAACATAAATTAGCTTGTTGTATCTGGCTTAACTTTGATGTTTTGGCTAGCGGTAATGAATGATAATCTTATTTTCAGAGCCATTGCCACCCCGCCCTTCTGGAATTCCTCGACAGGCCATTCAGAGAGGAGCTGTGACAAAGTCAAGTGTACCGCCCGGAACTCGGACACCAATGTGTGATAGCTGTGGTGAGACAATCAGGTTAGTAGTACATTTCTCTTCATCTTGTTTTTATTCATCAAATGTCAGAAAAGAATCATTCGCCTATTAAAAGGAATGAGCATACCCATTTTGCCAAGTTAATATCCTCCTTCGCATTTTTTGGAGTCGTATGAGAGCAGCTCACTTAATGGTTTAAATAATCCTTTGATTGTTTCATCATACATTTATTCTTGAATGTGTGTCTAATAGAAGAAATACAGTATGAGTGATGTTTGTTTCTTATTTGTCTACTCCAGAGGTCCATTTGTGAATGCCATTGGAAAGAACTGGCATCCTGATCACTTTCATTGTTCTCATTGTTCCACCAATCTGATGGAGATGGGTTTCGTGGAAGAAAATGGACAGCTGTTCTGTGAGAGAGATTACGCTGCCTACTTCGCTCCCAATTGTTCTAAATGCCAACAACCTATCATTGGGGTAAGTCACTAAGATTATGTATTTAAGAGTAACTGATTAAAAAGAGGAATAACAATCTCTGGGGACCTGACTGGTATAGGGGTTTGCCTGGTCATATGAACACCTGAACATTTCTGAAATTTAATAAACTAATACCGGTAAACTATACTGATCTTAGCAATTTTAGGAAAACAAATTATCCAGAAAACATTATAAGGCCGCCACTCTAAATTGATTGTTTAGAATGAATTCTGCAGATTGCATATATGGATGGATGGGATGGATGGGATGAAAGGAAGGGGAAGCAACAACTATTTCTCTCAAGGATTTCTGCATAGACAGTAATGTATCTACCTGGTATGTGGGAAAAATAGAGAGGGTGCCAAGTCTAGCCCGTCCCTGCCATCCCACAAATGGAGGGTGCTTGAAAAACACCTGATTTTGTTTACCGGTACTTTGTTCATCTGTGCCGGACATGCTTGATGTGAAACCAACATTTCTCACTAACTATCATGGCTTAAACTTAGTATTTTAATGAGACACTGCAAGGCCAAAACTTCTTAAATGTCTTATTGAAATTTATGACTATTTTGAAGTCAATACATCAATACACTCAAGTGAGGCAATGGACTGACCCCAGTAACTCTAAGCTAGTTGAACCAGTAAATATCAGATATCACATGGTGGTTTTTTCTCTCTCTCTCTCTCTAGGATGTGCTAAATGCCTTGGAGAAGTCCTGGCATCCTGATTGCTTTGTCTGTGCTCAGTGTCATCGGCCATTCTCAGCAATTGGAGCTGGAAGTAGCTTCCATGTGGAAGATGGAATGCCTTATTGTGAACAAGGTAGGTCTGGTTAAAATATGAGGGATGGAATATATGATTGTGAACATAGATGAAATGTCTATTAATAATATTGAGTTGTCATTTTTGTTTACCAAATTACCAGTTACAAGATTGTTAGGTAAGTTACTAAAAATGAAATGAAAGTTTATTTTCAGGTTATCACAAATAAGGTCTTGTTCATTGGACCTGCTCGCACCTGCCAGATCGCATTTTGGAATTATTTTGATTTCTCAACTAAAATTTACGTGTACGGTGCAGTAAGATATTTTGCAAACTGTAGAATCTCTCGATGAGAGTATATCACCAAAATTCTGTTGTCAGTGAACAATTTATTCAAACTAAAGTAAAGCTATGTACAGTAAAAGACAACAATGGATTAAAGAAAGTGATTTATTCCTCGTCTTTTGTATTTCTATTTTTAGATTGGAACCAGATGTTCACTACTAAATGCTCTGGATGTAACTA